AGTCAGCTGATGAGACTCCCAGCCACAGCAGCCCATGGGGTACTCCAAGCACCCACATGGCTAGGAAACTGCAGCTGATGTGATCTCCCAGCCATGGTGGGGTGTGGCACATCCCTGCAGCTGGTAGACTGAATCAGCTGTCGGGGTTCCTGGGATGCCCCTGTGGATGGAAGCCCCATCAGATGAGGACACTCCCAGTCATAGGAGTTTCTACTTCTACATGCAGGGTGAGCCTGGCATCATAACCCCAGGCGCCACCTGCACCAGCAATAAAGTGTGATGGGAACTAATTTGCAATCACACTTTCTGCCATTGTATGGATCATGCATCAGACCATGTTGTGCTTTTACCTGCATGTCTAGAAGGGCCCACAGATAACAGTCTATTTCATCTGATGAAGAAGGCTGTTGCCTATGAAAGCTACAAATAAGGAACAATAAGTAATAGGTCTGGATCTTATCGTTAGTGAACTTTTACAGAAGACTCCTTGCATACAGATCATTATCCATGACACCCTTCAATGCAATAGGTGAGGAATAGCCATCTCCCACTTCCTACAATCACAGACAGGATGGAGCCTGGGAGGACCAGGCAAGGATGAAGCATACTGTATTTACCTGAATCCAAAATTATGCTGTATTTAAGACACCCCCCCTGCTAAATAATTAGATTCACTACATGGATAATTTATAAATTAGTTATAATCTATCCATGTATAGAAGCTAATTATCGGATGGTCATCTTAAATTTGTCCCCTCCCCCAACACTGCAGTGGGACAAGAAGTAGCAAGGGGCAGAGAGTAGAGGAGGAGGTAGGGAAGTAGAGGAGGAGGTAGGGGAGTTTACTGGTCTGACCCCTGCACCCCTTGCTCCACCCACATCTTGTCCCTTGCCACCTGTCCCCTTCACCACTTGCTCCCCTTGGTGCCTGCATGCTCTGGTGCCTGCCCCCCAGCACCTGTCAGGGCCAGAGAGTCAGAGCTGCTGCAGCCACCTGCCCCCACTCCCACAACTCATACTCAATTCCAAGACAAGGGGCTTCACCCCTCCCTCCATGCTAAAAGACAAAAAACCCTCATATTTGATTTGAGAGAATACAATACTCTCCTACTCCATTTTCTGTTCTGGAGCCTGCTGCTGGCAAGAAAATATATTTGGTAGCATGGCTTTAAAGAAGCCAAGTGACAGAGACCTAGGTACAGAGGGGTGGGGGGGAAGAATACCCTTCATAGCCAGAGCTGGAGTACAAAGGGTTGGCATGTGGTCAGGCCTGGTCTCTGAGTAATGAGGTTAGGGAAAAGATGCTCACATTCTTGAATGAGGCAAAGGGTAAATCCTGCCTACTTCCACCATCTCATTGGTGGAGAAGAAAATCTACAATGGATGCTATGCTGAGACTTCTGCTCAGAAATCCCCCCCCTGTGGCCTCTGACATGGGAGGTGACATGTGGCTCAGTTATTTTTATTTTAAGAATTCTTCTAAATCCCATGGAACACAGTTTTTCTTTCTGATTTGCTACTTACATTTATAATGATAGATGGTGCTACTGCCCCACCTAGTTGAGATTGCCTCATATTTTTCATTAAAACCTTCTGTTTCAAGTTGCTTGTAACTTGGTTTGAATGTTAACGTTTCAGGGCTGAAGTTTTCCATGCTTGAGCTCTACCCCAGGTTGCTATTTTTCAGCAATCCAAAATGGGCCACGTGTTTGTAAGAACAAAGCTAGCGTAGGGAAATGGTATTCTGACAATTAAAAAATAATACTGTTTGCACCCACTGGTGAAGAACACTGCTGAAGATGGGAGCAGGAAGTGGAACTATGGCAGTAAGACAACACAGAGATGTCAGGTAGTCACCTGGTGTGGTCTGGGGCTGAATCTCCACAGGGTCTGGTGTGCATGTGTCATATCAGGAAGGTGTCTCAGGTGATGTGGCTGTCTGCAATTTCCAGTGGATCGTTGTCTCTTGTCTGCCACAACTTGATGGGATGCTTCACTTGTTGGGGGTTGGAGTCTGCTGACAGCCGCCTTCTGTGAGTCCCATCCTGGATCCTCAGGGGGCTCCTTCCCTTACCACATCAGTTAGCAACAAAAGGCCCCACCAGTGAATGACTTGGGTTGCTAAATTGGCTGATAGATTAGGCTCACCCTGGTTCCACCCGTATAGGCTGTCAAAACTTGATGGAGCCAGCTACTTCTGGCCCAGCCAGTTAGGGTTTGACTGGATATATCCATCCCAGCAGTCTCTTGCCCACAGGTCCTTGATGGCTAGCAGCAGATTGGCCTTACTCTGCCCCCCTCTGGCTCAGTCCCAAAAACAAGAGGTGGAGATAGAAATGTAGAAAAAGTTATATTTAAAAATAAACCAACCCC